ACAATACAATTGTATTATTTTCAGCGATCTTCTCTCAATCGCAAGTGAAAATAAAAGCGCTGGTGATTCGCATGTGCTGCAATGATAAATATAATTATTTAATCATGAACTTGATATTTTGATATTTTGCTATTGTAAAATAAAAATAAAGAACTAGTAGGGCRGAAGAGAGAATTAGAAGAGACATTGGCAGTCTGGACGCTAATTAGAGCAAATGTTAAAACAGTGAATGACTTTGATATTGAAAGTTTGACCAACTAAAAACTTTCAAACATTGAATTTCATATATTCTCACTGCTTAAAAGTGCTTTTTTTGTTTAAAAACAAATACAAATAAAAGCTAATTCAACTGGTTTATTTGTTTAAAAAATCATTTTATCACACTGACATGAATAGACCAAGACTCATGCAAGAGGAGCCTCAGACAGCAGTGAAGTCGCTTTAATTAATAATGCAAGAGAGGAATTTAGCAGAACTAGCAGAGGCGTCGATTCCAGTCAATACAAGGAGAAAAGCAATCTGGGCGGCTTCCCGTTTATACTGGACAATTTGGCGAAAGAGCTCGCCTATAGATAAGAAGTCTATGGTTTCTGAAATACTGTAGTAAGTGTGTTATATATTCATTATGCTCACGTCAGTCGTTACGCGCATGCGCGCGGGACCATGTGCTCGAGAGAGAACGGCCATGTTTGTCTTGTAAGATTACTGTAATAAAGTTCTAGTTCACGACCAGAGTTTTAGTATTTAACAACTGGCGACGAGGATAAAGTACTACAAAACTTTCCGTTTTTAAAGATGGCTCAAGCACAGGTGGGCACAATTGAACCTTTTGATGGAGATGACTTCTCTGATTACAGCGAGCGACTCGACTCATATCTATTTGCCAATAACATTGGAAAAGTGGCCGCCGATGCCAACGAAGACACCAAGAAAGAAGCAGATAGACAAAAAGTGGCTACTACAATTTCAGTTATAGGAAAAAAGGCCTATAAAGTTCTGAAAGACCTCTGTTTACCCGAGAAACCCACAGATAAATCCTACAAACAACTCACGGAAATCCTTACAAATTTTTACAAACCCAAGGTACTTGAAGTAGCTGAATCGTATCGTTTCCACCATACAATTCAAGGTGAGAATGAATCTGTTACTGAATACGCCAATAAGCTTAAGCGTCTAGCTGTGCACTGCAATTTTGGCCCATACTTAACTAGAGCTTTAAGAGATCAATTTGTGGGGGGAGTAAGAGGTCAAAGTACAAAGAAGAAGTTATTGTCAGAGGACAGAACATTTGAACAAGCTCTTAAAGTAGCTCAAGCCGATGAACTAGCAGAAAAGGAATCTAAATTGCTTTATACCAACACTGAATCAATTGATGTTAATCAACCTGTACATGCCTGTACTGCATCCAACTTGAAAAGTAAGGCCCAACCTGTCTCCACTACCTTCAATACTAGTGGTAAAAAATGTTTTAGATGTGATTCTACACAGCACCTAGCTGATAAGTGCAGCTATGTTAATGCTACTTGTTATTCCTGCAATAAAAAAGGCCATTTGTCTAAAGCTTGTTTTAAAAGAAAGAAAGAAAGTGAACCAAAGGCCCAGACCAATCTAGTTACAACCACTACTATTGAAGTTCAAGATCAGGAAAACTTTCAGAATCCACAAACTGTTTACATGCATAGTGTAAATACCTCTGCCAATACCTCATTATACAAACTTACTGTTAATATTGAAGATGCAAATGTTAAAATGGAAATTGATACTGGTAGTGCAGTCACCTTATTAAATACCAGTGATTTTAAGAAGGTGGGGGGCAGTATTAGTACCCTTAAACCTAGTACTGTGGTGCTTAAAGGCTACACAGGGAACACTATCAAGTGTTTAGGTGAGAAAGAAATGAGTCTGCGAGTGGGGGATCAAGTACATGATCTCACAATAAGAGTGGTGGACGGCCCCTCCTTGTTAGGGAGAGATATGATGTCTAAGTTTACATTGCCCTGGCATAACATATTTAATGTAGTATCCATTACTTCTGATGATATAGTACAGCAATACTCCACTCTTTTCGATAATACTTCAGTGGGAAAGTTAAAGGATGTCCAAGTTTCATTGAAAGTCGATGATTCCAACCCAGTGTTTCTAAAACCCAGAGTGGTAGGATTCTCTGTTCGTGATGACTATGAAATTGCACTAGATAAACTTGAAAAAGAAGGTATCATCGAGAGAGTTGAACATTCAGACTGGGCTTCGCCAACGGTTCCTGTTAAGAAGCCTGATGGTAGTATCAGAATATGTGGAGATTACTCGGGTACAATAAATAAGTTTGCTACTTTGGAACAGTACCCAGTACCTACGTTTGAGGAATTACAGAGTACAATGTCTGGAGGTATGAAATATACTAAACTTGACCTTTCGCAAGCATACCACCAGTTAGAGCTAACCCCAGAAAGTAGAAAGTACACTACTATTAATACACACAAGGGTTTGTATCAGTACAAGCGCCTTACATTTGGAATTAACAGTGCAGTGTCTATTTTCCAGCGCACGATTGAAAATGCCTTGAAGGGCTTGCCTGGATGCTGCGTCTACATTGATGATATACTAATTACAGGAGAAACAGATGAAATCCACTTACAAAACCTACATAAAGTACTCCAGCGCCTACAGGATCTGGGACTAAAGTTGAAGAAGGATAAGTTTCACTTCATGATGGATGAAATTGTGTATTTAGGTTTCTCCATCTCGGCAGCCGGTGTCGCCCCTACAAAAGAGAAGGTGGATGCTATACGTCAGGCTCCTCCTCCAAGTAATGTCGCTGAACTTCAGTCCTTTATTGGATCTGCAAATTTCTTACGTAAATTTGTATCAGACTTTGCAAACATTATGCACCCTCTATATCAACTGCTTAAGAAAGGGACCACGTGGAGATGGGGATCACAGGAGCAAAGTGCTTTCGCTCAGATCAAAGAAGCCATGTGCTCCGACACTGTTCTTCGACACTATGACCCTGCTGCGGAGTTAATTCTTCAGTGTGACGCCTCTTCCATCGGGATTGGCGCTGCATTATTACAACCTGGCCAGGATGGGGAATTACAACCTGTTGCTTATGCTTCTCGAACTTTAAGTCAAGCTGAACAAAATTATTCCCAGATTGAAAGGGAATCATTAGCCATTGTTTTTGGGATTACCAAATTTCGTCAGTACCTTCTTGGAAGACATTTCAAACTACTAACTGATCACAAGCCCCTAATTATTTTACTTGGAGAGCACAAACCAGTTCCACAGCTTGCATCGGCAAGAATAAAGCGTTGGGCGCTTCTGTTAGCGGCATATAATTATACTATAGAATTCATTCCTGGAA